TTGTCAGCAGTCGCTTCAATACCTTGCCGAAAGCATTCATTCTCGGACCAAGAATTGACGGCTTTGAACATTTGAATTTCTTTGGCCGATATTGTGTTTCGTTGTACAAGAAGCGACAAGGTTTCTACATCAAGGTCTGGAAATGCCTCCGACTCTAACACTTGAGTTGTATACGAGTCTATCATCTCCCAGCATCTTTCTTGAAGTGTCTCTTTTCCCAAATACCTGGCATGACAGAGAACCGTTAAGGCATTCTCCGGGTTCAAACTCGCCTCAACAAAATTTATGCATTTGGCTGCAAGAAAAGGTAACATGTACTTTTCTGCCAAATAAAGCACACCTAGGGCATTATCTAGAGTCAAAACTGCTTCGTCTGTGTACACGAAACGCAGAAGTTCCATGAAGCACTCGACTTCGGAGTCACCAACGGCTACGTCGGACTCTTGCTCGGCCATTCGACCGTAAAACATGGCGAAAAACACCGGACTACTTATAGCCAAAACGTATTTATGGCCCGGAATGCGAACTTTATCTTTGCCCACCAAGAAGTGCACATCGCTAAGTATCTCGTTGTTAAACATGAGCTCGTTTCTTTCTCGCACTGTCGCTGCTTTGAGCTGGCATTTCTCGAAACTTGGAATCTCACTCGCGGACGCCATCTTTGTTGTTGTTCGACGTTGTGGTCGGGAATTTTTTGAATGAACAAAAGATTATGTAACCTCGCTTTGATTTCTGGGTAAGTAATTAATGAATGTCACGCAATATTGCTCGACACACGAGCCTCTGAAACAGAACGAAAGTCACGATAGACGACTTGATAAAGATAATCATGTGATATCCTTCAATTTCCATCTGATGGATAGTGAAAATCGATAAATTGCATTTGAGAAGCCATCTTTGAGAGAACGATTCCCAAAAGCTTACGAGGGCGGTGGCTTTTCACCCACACAAATTCTCCCCCGTGAAAAGAATGACAGTCTTTGTACGACTTTGTACGATTCTAATTTATACGGTCGGTTTATTTAAAGTAAAAAGGCGTTGCCTATTGTCTAGAAAACCGGTTAGTCGACTAACCGCAAGGACCTAAAAATATGGGTCACTTGGAAAATAGAAGACGAAAATATTCGATTCTGTGTTTTCTTGGGCAATCATCGATCATCACTGCTAAAATAATTATTCAAGTGTTCCCAGTCACTTGTTTCCAAATTTCGCCGCTTTTTCAGCGAAATCAAAATTCAAATTTACGGCATATTTACGAATTTACAAATATCTCCAGGACACGAAATATTCTTTCTCCCTACAATAACCCGTTTCTTTTACATGGAAATATTTTTCACTTAAACGATATTTTACGTGTCCGGGTCGAACGTAGCAATAATATTAAAGCAAGTGGTAGATTTGATTTACACGAAACATTTTACGTGGTAGACTTGTCGTAAGCTTGCCGCATTCGACAAGGTTGGACCGTCTATTAAAATCATCACGTTTTTTCGCACCTGAGGCGCATTAAGCTGCCACGCTCATCGACTATTGGCCTGTTTTGCACTGTGCCTGCGATACACTACAGCAGGCCCACCCATTATATTGTTCGGAGCTCCTTCCTCACAGTTCTTACAAAGGAAGCGCTTTGGACTCCCCTCGGGCTTTGACTCAAGAGAGTTATTTCAGTCAGTAACGAGTTATTTCAATCCCAACCCAGTTTACGTTGTATCGTTATTAGGTCTTTCAGCCGGTAAGCAGGTTTTCTTTTAATTTAATTTTAATTTTCTTTAGTCCGGTGCATGGTCGTTAGTACTACGCAACTATCTATATTGGCCTCGAAATAAAGCGTAAAAGAGTTTGTTTACACAGCTGAAAACGTTTTCCCCTACCTGATGATTTGCCATATTCTCATCCTCATTTCAGATAAACTTCATGTTGCTGGCATTTTGCTGTTACGCTCGGTTCTTGGAAAACACCAATTGAAATTTGTCAACCAGGAATTAAAATACTGCATATCACTCCATTGCTGATTATTTTAAGTTATTCTTTCAAGAAAACTGAAAATTAAAAAAAGCGATTTGAGCTCAATCAATACAAATCCTTGAAACGGGTCACGTTCATAAAATGGTTATGTAACAGTTAATTAATGGTCTCCGTATACTACCTGGGTTATCTGCTAAATTGACATTTTCAGTGCTCGTTACTTGTCATTGCAGGAAATGCCAAGCGTCTTTGAAAGTCTGATCTTCAATTTGTCAAAGGGTCCAGTTTTCTTTAAAAAAAACAAAACAAACATGGAGTAACTTCCTCCAGTAAGATAGATTAAGACCGGTCGGGTTTTGCTCCTGAAGTCCACCGCGCGATTGGAAAAGTTAAAAATTATGCAAGCCCCTCCCTATAGATGGTTTTTCCTTTGCTTCACATTCAGTATATTCGCGTCGCTCTGGAAAAAGTCCTCAAAAGTGACTGAAGTTTCATATTCTATTTCCCTCCGCCAGAAAATATTTAATTTTAGTTCAAGAGCCAAGCGCGGGCGGAAAACGTGGAAGTCTATATTTTAATCTCTTGTAACGCAAAAGGCTTTCGATAGGTTTTAACACCCTTTCATTCCTTGATTGGATTTAGTGATCTTATTCAAGTACATCTTCAATTTGAAGTTGAGTTAGAGGGTTATTGCATTTAAGGTAGAAATTTGCGATATTTGTTCCTAACGGGGGTGTAAGGCCATGCTGTAAACATGACACATTTTTAATTAACACTATCTCAGTCAAATGGAAATTTGCGTAAAGATGATTTAAATTCCACCATACTGTGAAGAACAATCGAGTCTCTTTCGTATTTCAAATGCATTACAAGTTTTAAATTCTCGTTTTCCTTCGCGTGCAACACTTTGACAAGTTATCGTAATTGCTTTCTCCATTAAGTAATAAGACCATCAACATTTATCTGATAATTACTCATCCTTGTTCTCAAAGACATTTTAAAGTGCATAAGTTATTTGCGATAAGTGAATTATCAAGAAAAGACATTCAGCCTCTCGTTTAAAGTGAGAGTGTTTGTAAAAAATCACTTTAACTCTCCGCACGTGAAAGGAACTGACGGTGCTGTTTATCTTTAAACTTTCCGAAGTCTCTTGTTTAAAGGTAATCTGTTAGGTTCACGTTTTAGGACCTGCGTTTTTGATGAAACAAATTTGTCGTAAAAAAGGAATTTTCGTTACTGAGCCCGGACCCTCGAGAAATGTCTAAAAACATTCTAAAGTGACACGACAGTGATTTTAAAATATGAAATGAATGGTGGCCGCTTCTCCTGAATTATGTGCCTGTAATTTTGCTGTTATCAGATCGCTCCGCCAAGTTTGACAGACCAATAGTTAAAGTAGTGGATTATTTAGGGTCGTGTTTGCCTTAGAAGTCAAAACATTTACAAACTTCAGCCCCACCTACGCCAGATAAATATACCTGAAACCGCCAGAAATGTTCTTCCCTGAGATAAACAGCGGTTGACGTTACATATACAGAAGCCTTTATAAGAGAACGGGTGTTACAGAGTTAGGAGGGGGGTGTTCTTGAGTCAGAGCCGGCCGAATCTAACGACAAGCGAAAAAAAGTTGATTTATAAATCTCGAGAAGAAATGCCTTCTTTAAAGGTAAGAATTCATCTTGCATGGTCGCACAGAAGCGTGATGCTGTATTCAAAGCTATGAAAAGTGATGCGGGAGGCGAGGTGGCCTCATGGCCGGATCGAGCGGTCCGGGTTCAAGCCCTGGCCGAGGACATTGTGTTGTGTTCTTGGGCGAGACACTTAAGTCTCACAGCGGGTATCGACGAATTTAATGTTGGGGGTATCCCTGCGACGGACTAGCATCCCATCCTATCTTGTTATTATTATTGTTCAGGGAGGAGTAGAAATACTCTTAGTCACTTCATGCTACAGAAACCGGAGATAAGCGTCGACCTGATGGGCCACTTGGCTCGTATGCAGACTTTTTTTCTTACCTATAAAAGTAATGTTTAACGGTAAGGGCCTTGTACGCGCAGCACTATCAGAGCAAGTAGCTAACTCGCTAGTTGCCGGTACAGGTCGCCTTTAATGGATCTTAGGTTGACTGATTGCGGAAACGTGGAATAAACCATAGCTTTGACATGAAAACTCTCGCAAATGAGGTTCCTCAGCACCTGTAGGTTGTTTAGTGTCTTTTAACAGCTAGCGCTGCTAAAATACACCCAAACACGCTGCCGATTACTGATGCAAAAACTAGTTACATATAGCTTTTGCGACAAACCATACGCTTCGCGCTCCAGTGTAGATTAAGACCTTAAAAAAAAGCCAAATTAAACATAAGATCGAACTATTTCTCTGAGTATTATGAAAAACCGATCCGATTAAATCGTAGCACCGTGATTATTAAATAAAACCCAACAGCTGGTGTTCAACATGACCAACATGGGTCCAACATCTCAGTACGGGATGGTAGACATGGTAGCTTGACCGCTTTATTGAAAAATGTTGTTACTTGTGAGAGGACAGAATCAGAGGTCCACACTGACAAAAAGTTTAATTATAACTGAAGAAAATTATAACGGAAGAAAAAAGTAATTGTGACTATTAAAATTGTGGGTATTAGGCCGAGAAATAGGATTGCAGCGCTCTTTGATCACATGTACACCTGAATAAAACCGTCATAGCAAGCTTAGGGTATTAATTTTAATTAATATGATATCTTCCGGCCTCTTCTTAACTTTAATATGTTCAACCTACATGCCAATCAGGAAATGGGAAGAGATTCTCGATAACAGACGAATGTAAATGAGGTTTGACACCCATGTCTTTTGCTCTCTGCCTGAAGTGTTGACTATGTGTGGTTTCATTGAATAAACTCAGATTATATTGTTATGTACTGTACTGTTAATCAAGTTTTATAAACAAGAACTATGCAGTATCTGCTCGGCTATCATGTTTCTGATGTTGTTCAGTTTACGGATTTTCCTGCCAGGGTTTGAGGTGGTGGTGAGGGATGGGGTGATTGGGGTGGGAGAAACCCTTGGAACGAGGTTAGATACACATTTTAGTCAGGCGCAGCGAAAATCAAGTCATAACTTTACATTCACAGTCAGTCTAATCCATTTTTATGTATCTAGCTCCTCCATGACGTTGTTTCGAGTTTTTCGTTGGATGTTTCGTTCACTGCGTAGCTGACGGTGCCTTGCGTGAAGGTGTCACACAGGAAACCTAAAACGTCGCGCGCGTTGAATCATCGCGTGACAAGACTAGAGTGTTCTGAAATACCAACCTGGAGAAAATGTCTACCTACAGGTCACACGAGCAAGACACGAGCAAGACAACTGACTGCGATAACAGCTATTTAAATGTTACATAACGTTCCTTAATTAATGGCAAAATCGTCAAAAACGCGAAGACCTACAGGTTTCCCATACATTAAACTGCTTTTCCTCACCTTGTCCAGTACAAACTTGAGTTTCATTTAATAATGACACCAATATGTTGACAATCCGATAAAAATGTATTGTGCCGTCCGCGTGTTCAAATATAGACTTGACATATACCTCTAACGCCGATGATACCTTGACTATTGCAAGCAAAGCCCGTTTGAGAACTGTAAGAAAGCCATCATAAAACTTCACTTGCAAGTGCGTGCAATGAAGCGACAGAATAAGTCAAAATGGAAAGATCCATTAATGATTAAGGAGGTTTTATACTTTCACTGCTGTAGCAAGGGGCGCGCCTGATCTCAATGATAGTTTGCATGTTTTCGTTACAGAGTTGTAATACACGACATTGCATAGGGGAAGAGGGAGAATAGGAAAGAAAAAGAGTCTGGTGTAGAAAGTGTATTAACTATGTCACTTAAGTTTTTTGTATTATAGATCGTTCAGGGAGCAACCTCAAAATTCGGAGGTCTCTTCATTACTTTCAGACTCAGATTTTTGCGTTGTTCTTGGGAGAGGAAATGCGCTGGCAACATCCTCGTTTTGTTACTTCACACCGAAACCGAAACCAGTATTGTTAAGCCGGTTTCGTGCTTAGGGATTTCAACAATAATAATTGTCACAAGTTGTTAATTTATAACATCTTTTCTCTCTCCCTCTTTCAGAGGATTCCATTCCTTCTAGCTATCATTCTTACGCTGACCCAAGTGACTGCGGGCTTTCCCCAGCCGATTGACGTGTTAGATCCAAGTGAGGAGGAACATGTGTTTCCGCCTTTGGAATCAACTAATGGCACTTTAAAGTAAATAAACTTTCATTTCTAAGGGAGATGTAGTATCCGCTAGACTAGACTGATCACAGGTATTAAAAATTAGCACTTTCTCGTGATAAAACGTAAGTCATAATCCAGGTAACGGTCTAACTGTATACTGCGTTCACTAGTGGTCAGTTTTAATTCTTACAAATTTAGTTGATGTAAGGAAAGAGCGACCAAGAAAATAGGTCCGCAATGCATACTTCGATTTCGTGCATGCCAAGCTGATCGTGTATACATTGTATTTTTCAGCATACTCTAACCTGGAAAAAATACATAATGAATCTGTCTGCCATAAAACATGTGTACATGCAGTCTACGTACACTTGTACTGTTTACTTGAAACATTGTTTCGTTTGGATCGGAAGCAATGTGCTGTTTTCAATAGAATAGTATTAAATAGCAGCGTGACGGCATATAACCTCATACGCAAAAGTTCTTTGGGCTATCTTCCTCCCAAGATTGCGTGACGTGCTCAAAGAGCGTCTGCGAAGGAGGCTAGTATGCATATGATTTGGTCAGTTAAGTAACGAACAGCATAGGAAGCTACTGATGCTTTGCGGACCTATTTTCTTGTTTGATTTGACCGTACAAATTCAAGCTTTGTTAGAATCTAGCAATACATTCCCGACTTTCTTTTGTACAGCTCCCGCTCTCATGTTGCAAAACGATTCCTAGACGACACTCGCGCCTGCCAAGAGATCTACTCACGACTGGACCCCCAGAAATACTTCAACAGTAAAGATACCTTCATTCCCAGGTTTGCCTACAGCGTCAAATGTGAAGGCACTCCAAGCGACCCTCCGGCCTGCGGTGTGACGGGTGGGAGGATGCGCTGTTTGACAAGAACAGGACGCGTGGAATTCATGCGTATACCGAGCGGGATTGGACAATGCTTCAGGCGCAGGCGCGTGGTGATTTCCGACGTGCCTGTAGGATGCTACTGTGTGTAAGCTACCTAAAGCGTCCAGGAGCACTCCCCTTACTTAATTTCCCTTAAAATGTCACTATTTAATGAAATGTTCAATGTAAAGTTCCTGAGACCAAAAGCGGCTCCTGTTATCTAAGGTATACAGAGTAGCGAAGTTAAGCAAGTGTCACACATTTTGCCAACTCAATTTAGATTAAATTAAAAGCGTCTATCACATCATTTAGTTTCATTTTCTTGTAAACTACCGTTTTAGTGGACACGCATCACACTAAAGTCTATAGTCGCCAAGTTTGAAATCCTTCCGGCGTTATTTACAGACGCTTTTAATGAAGCTTCCGTCGCATGAAAGTAGAATAAAGTCCCTGGTTTCTTGAATGAAGCCATTTTGTAAAGACACGTAGAGGCTGCACATTCCATTGCCGTACAGCGAAATCTTAATCCGTGTGAGTTTGACGGAGAACACGGCGTTGTCAGCCTCGGAATCCACCTCTCATGCAGCTAATGGTCTTTTACAACTTCACGCATGCGCTTGGCCTTCCTGGTGGAAGGGTGCCAAACTTCAAAACTGAATCGGGATAAATATCCTAAAATTTAACCTTTCAAAATGCTAAAAACTGTAAGTACCTCGGGAAAGATTAAACCAAATCGTAGCATTCAAGACGTCTAAGTAAAACGGAAGTAATGCTCCGTAGCTTTCATTCGATTGGTCACAAATTAGGATTTTGTGTGCAGATTCAATCTCGCTCTCAGGGTCTCATCTTCCAGCCCTCCCAGAGCGGAAGGGAGACCCTGGGAACAAGGTTGGTGTAGACTCAAATGTTTTTTACTCTGGATTTCGATAGCACAGCTTACACGAGGTTTCAAACAGATGGGAAAACACAAAACTTTGTGCTCCTCTAACTCGTTGATAGCCTGACAGAGAACCTAATTTGTTCATTTAAACTTCGACCGTCCAAACCCAAGAAAGTTACTCGGTTACGGATGTTTCAACCTTATGTTTAATGATCCTTTACATTATTTTATGAATCAAGTACTAACTATACGTTACATGAAAAAAGAATCAACTACTCCTTTTTAGTAGCATTTCATATGCAGGCGAATTAATAATCAGGTGACATTTCGAGTTTCACTCTTATAGTTAATACGAAAGTAACCTTCGGTTACCGTTCTAAGGCCAAATAGAACAAGAACGAGAGTCGATAAAAATAACGGACCCACGAGAGGTACACTTCTACAAACTTATATTTCAGCGCCTGGTTAAACGAGCTGCGACTGCGCGAGAGCCGTAATGAAGTCCTTGTCAAACCGGAGCGCGCGTTAGTTAGCGGTCAAACTGGAGCGAGAGTTCGTTCTTTCACCAATTCTTGTTTTCGTTCTATTTTTGCCCCTCTAAACCTACAAAACTTACATACATTCTAAGAACTCGTTTTACAAGCACTCATTTTATACGTTACTTTAAGTTAAAAATAGTGTATGTTTCACATACTCTTATAAAACTAGACTATCATTTTAAACTGTTAAACTTCTAGTTTATATTATAACCTACAATACATAGCTATGGTGAAAAATATTTTAAACTTCAAACAGGCCTTATTGTACTTTAAAACTAAGCTATAATAGACATTAATAACCTAAGACACTCTCGCTACCGCAATGAATTCCTGTACTTCAACACCGAAAAACAAGTAACGCACACCAATCAGCATAATCAATCCTAAGTGTGCAAATGTATGACCTCGCATTGCAAGGAACCTTCTTGCGCATCACGCTCTTTAGTGAAAGCGCCCAGGTAGTTCCTGGTGGTACATCTGACTCAGAGTTAAATCTCGAAAAACTGCTCCACGCGTCCATAAACGTCCACCCTCCAGCGGTAAGGCTGCCAGTTGTCAGTGTCATGCGCACGGACAACTCTGACTGCTTGCTCTTCGAAACCAATCTCTGCGCGAACATTCAACGGCGTTCCATCTTCACGAGTTAAGGTGAACGCATCGAGGTTTAGCACAGACGCAATCTGCGAAATACAAAGAAATGCAAACTGGTCACAACGTGTCGTTCCCCAACGTCTGAGAACAGAAGAAGTACGAGCTACTGGTCGACATCTGGCAGAGTAAAAACACTCAATACATCAGTTTTGTTTCTCGTAACCCAATCAGAAAAGTGCGAGCAGCTATCACACAGAATGTTTTTTTGGAAACTTTACATCACGTTCTCAAGCGCACGGAGGCCAAGGAATTTTTTTTAGGCGGGGAGGAGGAGGGAGCGGGGAACGTTATTTGAGGAAGATGAGTGGTAGGGTTTTAGAGGTATACCGGACTCCTTTGCCCCAAGTGACCAATAAAAAAGGTACAAAGAGTGTAGAAGGTTGTCATACATTGCCATGATGCTCTCTTCCCAGGTTGCCGTAGGATGTACTTGGTCTTTCTCGGATGGTAAAAACCAAATTCCCTTCGCTGTCCTTTATGTGAAGCTTCGTAAGATCTGAGATTAACAAAATCGAGTTCTAATTAGCAAATATACTCTCTTCATGTATTACCTTGTATATTTTTTAATGTTAGTTATTAATTAGTAAATTAATTAATTAATTCATTAATTAAACAAACAACAAGCAAATAGATATTAAATAAGAGACCGACATTCCTCGAAAAGTGAAAGCAGTTAAACTACACGAGAAAGAGGTTTGATGTTTATGGTGTAGAAAAAGTTCAAATTCGCAAAATAATGTAATAATATCTTGTTAATTATTGGTAGCCAGTGGAGTTCCTTCACGGTGACAAGTCAAGTGCTCCAGTAAACAGCAATGCCTTGCAGTTTTTAGGTTTGGTAAGAATTAAGCCAAGACTTTATTGACTTGTATATTGAGCAATGTTTGCCATAATTCTCTGTCATACAGTTGGAGTCTTAACAGGGCTGTGCTCTAAAAGTGCCTGAGTGCCACAGGTGACTACCTTCTGCCTTTGAGCGACTGGAAAAACTTACTTTTTTCATATAAGCTTAAGTGCTATCTGTTCCTATTTAGGGTCAAGTAATAAGTTTACCTGTTATGGAGTACAACCATTCTGGGGTAGCAAAGGCTCCTGAAAGGGGCTGGGTGCTAGACATGTCTGCATCACCAAGTAGCTGACCTACAATTGAACAAAGAAAACGATGTTATCATAAAGACCTACGGCTTATAGGCAGAGGGTGGCATGGGCAGGGAAAGAGGGGAGGGGAGAGAACAACCTCAATACTCATTTAGGATGACGACAGATCTCAACAATGTGAATACAAACTTTCTGAATGAGGAAGTACAAGACTGAGACTATGCAGCCCGGTTGTCTTATAAATCTTAGACTTTCGACTATTATTTTCTTTGGAGTTTCTCCTGTCAATCCAAAACTATAAATAATTTGTGTTTTCACGTATTTCAATGCAAGTTTGTAAATTAAAATTTATTTCATCACTCAGAGTTCATCTCCACTAGGGGAAGGTTTTTGGTTATTTTGAACAACCAGGAGAATTCCACGCACGTACAGAAACAAGACATCAGTCAATACAAAATACTGCACCTATGAACTGGCCAACATTGAAATCTTCGCCTTTCAGAAGGTTGATGTCATTGTCATTAACATCAGCGTTTTCCTCAATTTCGTTCAAAACTCTGTCCAAGTCCTGACCTTCAAGGCTGAGAAATAGCTCTGATAAACAAAAGAGAGCACACGGAGATGATCTCAATTATGGCCATTGATCTTTGACAGGAAGTACCATACAAGTTTAAAGATCTCACTCAATTTGCTTTCTTCAAAAGTGTTAAAAACTATGTTCTATCTCAGCAATATCAAACGTAAGTTTCCACAATTCTTCTAGCTCTTCCCTTCAGTAATCCGTCATTCTACTCCCATGTTTTTTTAATGTTCACTCAGACGAGATGGAGGATAGCTCCATAACCTCTCTGTTCTATTAGCCTCCATGCACAAACTATATAACAATGTCACCTTTAATTGTTTTATATGAATCTTTTTTTCTTTTTTATGCTAATATTGTAATTTCAAAATGTAAGTGGAAAATAAAGCGAAGTTGAAGTTGAAGTTGGAAATTATTAGCTGCTCTGATGTTATTATTGTATGCATTATAAAAGTAAATTACAACATGAACATGCAACACCAGTCACAGCAATTATGCTGATGGGTAATACCCACGAGGTGCTAATCAGTATTTTAATTGAGGGTGTCCTTTCATGTTGTTGAAATCTTTACTGTGTCATGAAGGGTGATTTCCAGATTTCCATAACCCGTTTCAGACTGATCTTTGTAAAATCTGTACTCCACACCATAGCCTGAAGCTGTACTTGACAGCATTTCGTCAACTCAAATAACTCTTCTTTACTCACACATCCAGTGGTACATTCTGTAAAATGTTAGGTAAAGAGGCACCATCTCGGCCATTTTCTAGGTATAAAACAGCTCAAGAACTATACCCTTTGGAAGGAAATCATCCCCATTAAAGCAAGGGTCGGAGAGGGGGAGGGGGTTACTTTCAACAAGGAAAGCTATGAGCAAAAACAACCTGGTCAACTCAAAAGATCCCTCCCCAGTAAAATCATGCAAAATGTAAGAGAACAGTAAGGAGAATTTTGATGCTTTGTTCTTACCACTTTGCAATGACTGCAGTTGCTCTTCTGCAGACAGGTCTAGGCCTTGCCATGGCCCCCCTATAAACATGGCAGCTTCAACCCCAAGTAGATCTGGCTCCTGGATGTCCCTGCTACTGTCATCATAGCCATCACGGGCTTCGCTGTCACTGTTGTTGTCAACGTCATCATCATCATCATCATTGTCCATCTCCTCCTCCTGATCATCATTGCAATTTCCTGCCTCACAGTCAGTTGACAAGGCATCTGAAGACTGTTCTGACACTAGGGATTCCATATCACTGTCAGTTATCTCAGAGCTGAAGCTACCATCTTCGTCAAGCCAAATATCCTCTCGAGAGGGGAGTGGAATGTTTGAGACACATGGCGCTGCAAATGTAAAGTAAATTTTTGATCAATATGCTTTAGAAAGATTCTGTCATAACAAAAAAACCTCTAATAGTTATCCTACATCACGGGTGGACCTGGGGGGGGGGGGATTCAAGGAGTGGGCACCCCCCTCCCTAGGATGAAGCCTTCTTCTTTGTATTTGCTTTTAGAATTTGTTTACCTCACCAGTCAGTTAATGCCATTCCTTAGTGGTGCATTCCCTCCTAAGAAAAATCCTGGATCCCCCCTGTACATGTATGCCTGATGGGCAGAATCAGTGCAGCAGTGAATTTGGAAGAGTCTAAAATATTGTCTGCAATACTTCTGTTATTTACTCACTTTGTGTCAGTTTGACTTTCGACTAACTATACTTGAAATAAATGCTTAATGGGCTTATTTAACACTTAACTTTGGAGAGTAGGGGCCTGTTTCTCGAGGGTCCAAAAAGTTTTTGCACTCGAAAAGCCGTAGCAAACTCTCAAACTTTTTGACTGTAGAGCTGTTTTATTCATGTATTTTTAATACAAACAAAGGTTCTCTTCATACAAGAAGTGTCAGGCGTATACACCTCTCTGTCTCTAAATACCGATTAACTAAAAATGGCTTTTTGGGCCTGAAAAGATTCTGGGGCTTTCGAGAAATGGGCCCCTGGTGTTTAATCAAAAATGGCACTTAATACTGTAAGTTAATAAAACAATACAATATGATAATAATAACCTGTCACAAACACTGGATGCTGTAGAAGTTCTGCAGCTGTAGCTCTCTCTGATGGTTCAAGAACAAAACCTTGGTTGAAAAAATCCTCAACTTCAGGGCTGCATGGAGGAGATTGTGGAGGCTGAGATGCTGTCCCAATCTGTGAGGAGATATAGAAAGATGACGAATGATACCTTAATTGAATTTCAATGACTGTCAATGTTGCACAGAACAAGAAGACATTCCTCAAACAGACTTCAGAACTTTTTTCCCTCAAAGGCAAGGACTAATCCAATCCAATCCAAGGACTATTCATAGACTTTAAAAAAAAACAACTAGCAATATTCAAGGACTTGTTCCTTCAGTCAAATGCAAAANGGGGGGTAGAGGACACAAAACACAGAATGTTCAGAAGCCCATTATACTTCACAGTCAGAGTTTATCATTTTTAACTGCTGTATTATCAAAATCCTTTTGTTTTAGGCTTGCAATGTTTTTCTTCACTTTCACTTATATCAATATTATAATTATGTTAGCATCAATGTCTTATTTTATGAGGATTACCTTGAACAGCAAAGAGCCACAAGAGAACTCCATCCAGGGAGGTTTACCCACCAACATTTGATAAAGTAAGCACATCAATTCCCAAATATCTGCACTGAATGAGTGCTGTTCACTGCGACAGACCTGGTGGGAAATATAAGATATATGTAAGTTCTGACCCTTCTTTCCAGCTTTAGTAGCATTAGACATGACTAGGAGTATTTCTACTCTTCCCTAAATGGGAAGCTAGACACCCTTTCACCCTGCGTGGGGTACAGGTTTGTAAGTATTCCTCTCTATTTCCTTCTGTCTTGGACTTCTCTCTGAAGATGCCACAAGTTAAAACCTGCTTTCCTCTCTATCCAGTCCACCATCCACAAAGTTCTTGCTTCCGTGGAGGTTTGGCCAAAATGGTCATGGGTGTCAAAGAGACCTTCTCTCCCTTCAGCTTACTGAGTTTTAAGACTTCAGTGTATAATTTCTGAAATCATTCTCCTCCACTGAATGGGTGATTCACCCATCTAACCTCGCCATTGGCCCATTAGCTGGGTATTTACAGGGTGTACGACAGGCCTTCATGGTTACCACAGTAAATCAGAGGACCAATCCTCACCCCAAATCACCCTGCCAAGTAATCTCCACTTTAATGGATGACCACTTACATGTACCACAACTAAGAAAAAGGGTTGGAATTTGATAGCCTGAAGGCCAAACAGGGATTTGAAAAAAGCAAGCCTCTTATCTGAACATGAACAGTACAACAAAAACAGTTCACATTTACCTCTGGGGCCATGAAGGCTTCTGTACCTCTTGGGGAATTGTCCTGTTGATAGCCATCACACCAGATTGTTGTTCCAAAGTCTGCAAGCTTCACCTTCTCTCCTGTGGCATCTAAAAGAACATTTCCGCCTGTTCACAGATTTAAAAAAAATACTTTCAATTGGTGTTTTCCTGTGACATCCAGCAAATAAAAACAGAGCATGGTAATAGAAAACAAGATTTGGTGATTTCCAAGACATCCACATCACCGATGGAAATAAAACTTCACTGTCTCCAGACTGGAGACAAAATACATGCATGCCAACTGACCTTTAATATCACGGTGCAGCAATCTTCGAGAGTGCATAAACTCCACAGCAGAAGTAACTTTGCCCAGGATATAGACTGCATGGCCCTCATAAAGTTTTCCATACTCTTCCACAGAGCCCCCTAATGGAGAGATTATGATAGATGTACCACAAAAATAACAGTTACTGCTTACTATCTAAGCATCAAGAGGGTTGTACTGGGGAATATTGGCTTGAGGTAGTGGCAATATGGACCTTGATCCAAAACAGAAATGACCAAGGGCCAATATTCCTCAGTAATACTCATGCAAACTATCAGTTTGTAAGACTACGTGGTTTATTATATGTCACTTGGGCCAAAATACACTGCTTATGCCCCTTTCCACGGAAATCTCTGCAATCTCTGTGGCCTAAAACTTGCCAAGACTCTTGGAAAGATCTTGTCCAAAATTGTGCACTGGGACTTTTGACGCATCATTCACATTTCTTACATGTATACCTATTTCCAAGCAGAAAAGTGACTTAAGTATTTGATTGTCAATCGAAAAATTGCCCTCTAAATCCATTTTGTTCATAGCACCTGACGAAAAATAAAATTTGTGTACCATCAATGGCGCATTTACTTGGGACTTAA